GAAATATTAATTTAATATCGCTCCCATTTCCTTAGTTTCAACACAAAGATGACCTCATTGATCTTTAAGGGCCCATACTCCCTCTAGTTGCTCTCTTGCTCTTCTTGTCCCATCTGTGTGGATTATCCTTAGCCTTGACGGAGAAGATTCTTTCATATCCCTCCTTGCTTTCCTGATTTCCATCTTAAGAATACCCTTACACTCTTTATATTGATCCAGATTCATTCAATTCCAGTTGACCTAGTGATTCGTTTTTACTCTCAACTAGAACATTATCTTTATTCATCCATTGTTCCCTAATCTTACTGGACTTACTTTTCACTCCAACATGAACATAATGGCTGAATTCTCAACACACTTTTGAAAGCCTCTCACATGTCAGATGTCCTTTTACCTGTGAGTAGTCTACTCCAATCAACTTTTCAAAGCTCTGGTCTCAGACCATGAAAATTTGCTTTACTCCAATTAAGAACTTTAACTTTTATGGAAGGCTTATCCTTTTACACAAACTATTTTAAAACTAAATAGCATTATGCTCACTAGTCCCAAAGTGTTCCCCTACTAACACTGCAGTCACTTGCCCTGCCTTATTTTCCACGAGAAGGTCAAGTTTTGTTCCTTCTCTAGTAGGCACATTTACATATTAATAAAGAAAATTCCTCTCCATCTAAACCTTTAATGCTACGGCAGCCCCAGGCAATGTGTGGAAAATTAAAATCCCCTATTACAACATTATTCTTACACATATCTGAGCTCTCCCTACATACTTGCCCCTCAACTTCCCTCTGACTATTGAGGGGCCTATTGTACAACCACATCAACGTGATCATCCCTTTATTATTTCAACTCATTTTCACTGGGATGAGCCCTCAAATATCCTTACTACAGTAGTAATATTTTCCCTACTCAAAAATGCCACTTCCCCCTCCTCTTTTGCCTCCTTTTCTATCCTTCCGATAGCATCTAAATCCGGAACATTGAGCTGCCAGTCCTGTCCTTACCTCAGCCAAGGTTCTGTAATAGCCATGAGGTCCCAGTCCCATGTTCCAATACATACTCTGAATTCATCAGCATTACTTCAAAGACCCTTTGCATTGAAATAAATGCATTTTAATTCTTCATCTACCTCGTTCTGACTTGCTCTTGTCTGTCTTTTCTAATTAACTTGCTCTTTTCTGATTCAAAACCATTCTTATCTCTCCTTTCTACTTTCACTGTTATTTAGAAACACTCCCTTTCCCAGTAGTTTACAGGCTCCCAAAACAGAACTAGCAAATCTCCCGCCAGGATATTGGTCAATTTCTAGCTCAGATGAAACCCATCCGTTTTGACCAGCTCTTTTCTACACCAGAAGAGATCCCAATGATCCAAGAATCTGAATCTGAATCCCTGCACATTACACCACCTCTTCAACCACTGATTTGTCTGCCTAATCCTTTTATTCCTTCCCTCATTAGAACTTGGCACCGGGAGATCACTACTTTTGAAGTTCTGTTTTTTAAACCTCCCAACTAACATCTTATATTCACTCTGTGAAGTCTTAACCATTTCCTTAAATACGTCATTCATACCAACGTATACAAAAACTTCCGGCTTCTCATTCTCCCCTTTGACAGTATGCTTCAAATGTTTTGAGCGGTCCTTAACCCTGGCGCCAGGAAAGCAACATACTATCCTAGATTCATGCTCATTGTTGCAGAATCACCTGTCTGTGCCCCTGACAGAACAGTCTCTTATAACAATTATTCTTTTAAATCTTAGCAAACTCAACTTATTGCCCAAGATCAGACTGCCACTTCTATTTTCCTCACAGACTATCCCCTCCAACAGTACCCAAAATGGAACAGCTGTTTGAGAGGGGAATAGCCAGAGACTTGTGAACTACCTTCTTACTTGTCCTTACAGTCACCAATCCATCTGTGTAATCACTGTCATCACACCAGCTCTTGAATGGCCTCGGTGACATTAAGTCTAAAAAGAAGCAGCTCTCAACAGCATCTTAAAAATAAACTACCCTTCCGTACCCACATATTTTAATCTTAATCATGCAAAAGATAAAAACAATTAAACATATAAATCTTTTAAAAAGTCAGGCACTTAGCTAAAACAAAAAATAAATAAAATCACTCCTTTGTATTTTTTGGACTGCAGAAGTTTAAAAAAAAATGTCAAAATAAAAAACCTTATGCTTCTGATATGCAATAACCATAAGAAATCTACAAGAAAACCTGCAAATCAAGAAGCTCCAACATCCACATTACTCTCAGTCTACCATATTGTTTTCTGGTCCCAATATCCACCAATAAAGGTAAAGTTGCCAAAGTCCTACTGGGTTATCAGGCTGCCCTCTCATTAGAGAAATAACTTATGGTGATTGAAGCAGAGGGTCATCATGCCTCAGGCAAGGGAACAGCAAGAGAAGGACAGTCATTCATGAGAACCTCACCCAGTGCTGGAATTGAACCCAGGCTGCTGACATCACAAACCAATTGTCCAGATAACTTAACTAACTGACTGTCTACCAATACAGACTTAAGTGAGACAACTGTCTATGCATTGACAAAGAAACCCAGGATAAGATATAAATCTATGATACTATAATTACAACCAAATTCTTCTTCAAAACCATTGAGTCCTCTAATTTATCCTCATTTGAAAATTTGCCAGTGGGTTTATTTAACAATTTCATAATTAAAGCAACATGAGTAAAACATAGCCTCGAGTGAAAGGTTGTAAGCTTGTCCAAGATTTGTACATGTTCTGTTTTCTAGACTCCTAATGTGGAATAACTAGGAGTGACACATGTTTACCTGCAGCAAAAACATAACCACAAACCAAATTCAGATTCACAGATCCACTGCCTTGTTTTGAGAAACAATATTTCTACTGATGAAAAGTTGCTTGCCTTAGTAAGTGCCATGAACTTAGGGAATACAGTTTTTCTGCCATCAGACCCACTCTCATGTAAAAGACATTATAAATACATCACACTAGCCAAGATTTGTGCCTCAGCCATTTGGCAGTCTTCCATTCATATGGGCATCAACTGGAATGGGGCTGGAGAGGAAAATTTGAAATTAAACACAAAAATATTGTAGCTACTGGCAAAGCAGGTTCTCTATGAAAAGAAGCTGTGTTAACGTTTCAAGTTGATGACCCTGCCCTGCCTCTATATTTGCTTAAAAATTGATGCCCCCAGCCTTTTCCAGTTGTCATAAAGGTCAATCAGTAACGCAAGTTCTACTTACCTGCACCTAACCTGAACATTTTCTGTATTGTGTTTATATTTCAGATGTCTGGCATCAATATTATTTTGTGCTTATTTGAGATTAGATGCATTAGGAGTTCAGTGTTTCCATGCCCCCCACCCCCAAACATGACCAGCAGGAATTGGAGGTAATGCCTGTATGAACACCTTTTGATGAAAAGAAGATTCTAGTCTATTTTGACAAGTGAAGCATAGCAAGGAATGAGAAAGATTACAAAAGGAAAACACAAAGGTAGAAGGCAAGAGAGCTTAAAGGCCTGTATGGATGTAAAAAGAAGATAAAATATAGGTAGAAGATGGGCAGCACAAAGGCTTAGTGGTTAGCGCTGCTGCCTCACAGCGTCAGGAACCTGGGTTCAATTCCTGCCTCGGATGACTGTCAGTGTGGTGTCCGCAATTCTCCCTGTGTCTGTATGGCTTTAGAAAGTACTTTAGTAAGTACTTTAGAAAAACCAAAGAAAACCTCTGCACAAAGACTTTCTGTAAAAAGAACATTTTGGTCAATTGGTTATTCTCAAACATACAATGATAAAGCGTAGGATGCTCCAAAGTCTGCTGCTGGCATGTGGTCACTCATCATGTAGTGTTGTCTCTGGAATCTTTCCAACTCAGTTTGCTCACACAATACAATTTGACAAGATCCTCTAATCACTCTTAAGAAAGAAATTTCACCCTGAACTTAAGAGTTCTTCAGAAATAGGAGAAAATCAACTGGACAATCTCTCCACCCATGCTTCTTCCCTCCAACCGAGACTAGATATCACAACATATCCAATTGAAACTGCCCCAGGAGGGCCTATAGCAAACCAAGCAGTCACCAACCATGTGATTTCTAGGAAAACTTAAAAATTCACTGCACTCCAAGGACCAGAGCAAACTTTTGATTTCCTTAAAGCACCAGGTATTTCCACGGACTTGAAATAAACCCATTTTCGACAATCCTTCAAAAAAACTTGAAGGTTTAAGAAATATTAAAATTGAAGCATCTTTTAATACTATAGTTCACTGGCTGTCAAGCAAATGTGAAAAACATTAAACCTAACGCTTTCTTTACTAACCTTGCAGCTACATGCGTAATTTTAAATTTCTGTCCCAAGTGTATTTTGGAATGAAGAACTTTGGCAGACTTCCATGCCAGTGCACTTGTACTGTCACCAACTGCAGGTTCCCTACTGATGCCCAACTAAGATTTGGCACATAGGTACCTTCTGGTGTCTGTATACTTCAGTAATATAGGATCAAGTTTAAAAATTCTAATTATTGTTACTGTGGGACGTTATTTGGTTTCATGAATTGTAATTCACGTGAGTACGACACCAAACCATTCCCACTCAAGTACTACACTAGCAAAACAAGACTGACTTGAACACATATGGAATAGATTGGCCAGCCTCAACAGGCGAGTACCTGTACAGAAAACGTATGATCCAAAGAAGGTGGCTCTGAATAAAATTGTGATGAAAGTAAACATTAGCATCGCGACTTAGCCGGAGACTTGTTTAGCCGGACTCCATGAGTTTTTTGTGGCCAGGACGTGCACGCTTGTGTACGAGCTCCTAAGACTATGCATAGCTGCAAAAGCCGCCGGCTGCTACACACAGTTCTCGGGATCTTTTCCATCTCGCTGTCTGTGGATATTCAAATAAGCGACTTGTTTTGACTGCTGCTACACAACACCCACCCCAAACATGACCCGGCTGTTCTGCAATCCTCCGCGGGCCGACACACTCACCGTAAACGGTTCATCGCCGACGTTGCCCACCGAGAAGCAGCTGTCACCGGGATTAACGGCACCAGTTAAGACCTGGTGAAGATTCATCCTCCTCTTAACGTCTTGTACCCTCCAGGCCGGCGAATGAAGCGGCGAATCACCCTCCCGGCCGGTTCCCGACTCCTCGGCTCATCTCAAGAGTAGCAAAGGCGACAGCAGTCCGAAGGACACCTGCACACTGAACTGGACTGCACCGGGCCGGGCCGGACTGGACTGGGTTGGGTTGGGTTGGGTTAGGTTAGGTTAGGCCTGCATTCACTCAGTCCCGGTTGACGTGTCTGATGGCCGCCGTCCTCCTGACTGCTCCTCGTCAACACCGCACACAACGTCCCGCCGCCATCTTGCTGACACATCCAACTCTCGCGAGAGCTTGGAGCCGCGGGGTGGGCGGTGTTCCTGTTGCCATGAAGACGGGTCACAAGACGAGTTACCGCGAGCACATATTCCAGAGCGGGCAGGTTTGAGTCTGCCACTTCCATGCACTTTTCACAACCTCAAGGCATCCCAAAGCACTTAAAAACCACTTAATGTGGTTCTTTATTTTGCTGCAAAGGAATGTCGGCTGAACTGTGTCGTGGAGGGAGAGATTTACAATAAATTGGTAAATTCAAAGAGAAGGGAAACAGCTGAACTGAAGATCGAGGTCACCACGGACGAAGAATTACTGTCTGCAGAGGTTGGGGAGCAACTGGCAATGAGAGACATGGACGAGAGCGACAGTGAACAATGATAAAAGTTGAGAGAAGTGGAGCAGGACGATAAAGTAGTAATGATGTGACTTTGTGATAAGTACCACAATGATTATTTGAACCAGTTAGATGCTGGACAATATAAATGACTAGACGATTTTGGTAAGTGGCAAAGATCTGTCACCTATGAACTAAATTATAATAAAAGTCAATGTATGCAACCCTTGACAATGAATGATCTTATTGATAGTGATTGCAAGTGAACTGTCATTCTGGAGAAAAATGATAAGAAGAGCAATAATTGTTGATCAAGTGGAAGAAGTCAACAGCTAAAGAACCAAGAAACAGCCGAGGAGTTGACTAAATGTTTTAGACCATAAGATATAGGAGCAGATCGAGTCTGCTTCACCATTCAATCATGCTGACATATTTCTCAACCCCATTCACCTTCTTCCCATAATCCTTGATCTCCTTACTAATCAAGAATCTCTCTGTATCCATCTTAAATGCAGCCAATGACTTGGCCTCCACAGCATTCTGCGGCAATGAGTGACACAGATTCACCACCCTCTGGCTGAAGAAATTCCTCCTCATCGCAGTTCTAAAGAGTTGTCCCTTCGCTCTGAGGCTATGCCCTCAGGTCCTAGTCTGTCCTACTATTGGAGTCTTCATGATAAAGAACACTATTAGGATTCCAAAATTACTAAATAATCAAGGGGGAAATAACCACAATAAATAAAACTAGAGATAAAGTACTAGGGAAATTAATGGGATAAAGGCTGATATGTCGCATGGACCTGATGGGTTACATCCTAGGATTTTAAGAGAAGCAGCTACAGAAATAGTTGATGCACTGATAGTAATCTTACAAGAATCCCTAGATTTTGGAAAAATCCCAATGTAACATCCTCATTCAAAAAGGAAGGGAGATTAAAAAAGGTAACTGTAGGTCAGTTAGCTTAACGTGGCACTGTGAAAATTTTATGGAGCATTATAAAGGTTGCTTGACAAATTTGAGTTCTTTAAGGAGGTAACATGCAGGATAGCTAAAACAGAAGCAGTGGATTGAAAACATTTGGATTTGCAGAAGGTGTTTGATAAGTGCCACACATAGGCTTCTTAATAAGACCCATTGTGTTTGAGGTAGTACATTAGCACGGATAGAAGATTGGCCACCTAATAGAAAACAGAGAATTGAGAGAAGGGAGGGCACATTTCCACAATGGCAACCTGTAACTAGTGGATTGTCACAGGGATCAGTGCTAGAGCCACAATTAATTATAGTATATATTAATGCCTTGGATGACAGAAGTAAATGTAGTATCACCAGGTTCGCACATGACACAAGTAGTGAGAATAACTATAAGAGTCTTCAGAGGGATATAGACAGGTTAAGTGGCTAGGCAAAAACTAGGCAGATGGAATATAATGTGGAAAAATGTATGTATATGCACTTTGGCATGAAGAATAGGGGAGCTGGATATTATTTAAATGAAAAAAAGACTGCAGAAGGCTGCAACACAGATGGATTCACTTGTTCTTAGATCCATAAATCACAAAATGCTAGCATCCAAGTTAGCAGATACACCAAACATTTTATGAGAGCAAGTGTACCAGTTGATCATAAATTCCAGTTGATGAAGTGGTCCACATAATCAATGTAGAAACACACATTAATTAATAGAAACATATAGCATAAATCACTTAAATAATAAATAAAACTTGCTGGCAGAGAGTTTTCTCATTTGCACCCTCAACTGACTACTTGGAGATTGTGATAATATTCAAAAATCCCTACAGTTTGGAAGCAAGCCATTTGGTCTGTCAAGTCCACGCTAACCTTCTGAAGAACATCCCACCCCTACCCCTACATTTCTCATGGCTAAACCATCTAGGCTGTGCATCCCTGGACACTTTAGGCAATTTAGCATGGCCAATCCACCTAAAGTGTACATCTTTAGATTGTGGGAGGAAACTGGAGCATACCTATGCACACACAGGGAGAATGTGCAAACCCCCCCATCTCCAGACATCTGAGGCTGGAATTGAACCCAGGTTCCTAGTACTGGCAGGCAGGAGTGCTAACTACTGAGCCACCATACAACCCCTTAATAAAACAGTCAACCTTGGGTATTTCAGGGATATAATTTTAGCCAGCTTATCATGAATGCTTAAAGTGCCATTCAAAATAGTTTGCTGTAATTGGAAATGCAAATGGTCTGTTGTCCTTTACTTCAAAAGGAATGGAATATAAATTTGGGATGTCTTGCTAAAACTACACAAGGCACAAGTCAGACTACAACTGGAACGCTGAGAACAGTTTTGGTTCATTTATTTGTGGAAATATATACTGGCATTGGAGGCAGTTCAACAGTGGTTCATTAGGTTGATTCTGGGTATTGAGGAATTCTCTTACGAGGAGACATTGAGCAGCTTGTATTTATTGAATTTAAGATTATGGAGGCGATCTTGTTGAAACATACAAGACTCATAGGGGTCTTGACAGGGCAGAGTCTAGGACCAGAGGGCTTAATCTCAAAGTAAACTGTCACCCATTTAGAACGCAGGTGAGAATTTTTCTTCCTCTTAAAGGGTTGCGAATCTGTGAAGCGCACTATAGAGGCGGGATCATCTAGAATATTCAATGCTGAGATGGAAAGATTTTTAATCTGTAAGCAAATCAAGGGTTATGAGGACAAGGTAGGAAAATTGAACTGAAGGTTATCAAATCAGCCGTGATCTCGTTGAATGGTGGAGCAGACTCATTTGGTCAAATGGCCTACTTCTGCTCCCACGTCTTATAATCTTATGTTTGATTTGGTGTCCCTATATTTGATTATATAATTTTGCTAAATTCTTTGCCTCAATCTGATTAGGTCTACTCAGGACTCCATAGAATTGCAAACTGAGACTCTTTTGGAAATTCAGTCACTTCTACCAAATTGCAAAACGCAAGCTTGTGCAATATTTTCATGTTACTTTATGTATAACAATCTGTTCTGCTTACAGAGAATGCTGTGAGATCTACGGAATGGTGTAGATGATTATAAGATAATTATTTTAATGTCACTTCTGCTTTTGAGAAGGCATGTGGCCCATTGCATGGTAAGAATAGATTATATTTGAGGTCAAGAGAAAATTGGCAAGGGCTGAAGGACTGAAATTATTGTTAAAAGGTAATATTTGGGTGAGATGCGTAAGGAAATGCATGAAACGGCCTGAAGATTCTCCAGAGAGAGAGAGAGGATTGAATTGTCAAGAGGGAGGGGTAAGAAAAGCAGGTGGAGATGTACGCAGGCTGTTGCTTGAGGCCAAAAATCAATTGCTGGAAGTGGAGTAGGCATATAAGAGGTTGGCAGTTCAAGCTAACATCTAAACAAGGTGGCTAATGATTAAAGCTCAGTGGAGAGGTCATGCAGGAGTGGAAAGAGGCAGCTCAGATTGAAGTATTCTGAGGAAGGATCACCAGACCCGAAACGTTTACTCTTATTTTTCTTCACAGATGCTGCCAGACCTGCTGAGCTTTTCCAACAATTTCTATTTTTATAGCTTAAATTGAAGTTGCGTCTCAGATGGGCATGTATTTGAACCTGTCTAACCTGTATGTTTTTGTAACCAGTATTTCCGCAGTGCCATCCAGTTTTACCTCAAATTTCACAGATCTCTGCCTTTTCCAAAAAGGCTGATCTTTTAAAGACTAATCATTTCGCAGGCAAATGGAAGCTTGGGGTGAAATTATTTACATAGTTTTTTTAACATATATTTAAATATACTTAGTTCAAAGCATATGCCAGAAAAGCTTGATTCTAAGCTTCATTTGAATTTGTAAATTGGAAGCAATTTCATAACCCTATGGTAGCTGATAGCTCGCCTAAATCCAAAATTCACCCACTGAATTCAAGTGCGAGATTATCAAAGTTACAATAGTTAAAGAGATCATATTTAATGCACATTTTTTGAACTTTGTTAGAATATTTACATGCCATTTGCAACCTAATTTGTTAACTAATTTGATCCTTTTGATACAATGGAATATACTGTATGGAATTCATAATTGGTACTTCAACAACTCACATTTATAGGGCATGATTAATACAAAGAATGTTCCAGAGTGTTTCTTGGCTTTGTGTATGTAAAATAGGTGTCAAGCCAGAAAGGCAGCAAGAGGTAATGTGACTATTGGCTTGGTCAAAGACGATTTTGAAAGAAGGCATAAAAGATTTAGAAGTTTAGAAAGGGAAATACAGAAATTGGGAGCCATACAACTGTCAGCTTTGAGAATATTGTTGAGACAAAGGGAGGAGAAAGTAAAATGCCAATCTGAACAGTGCAGTGCTGTATTGGAGAGAATATAGGGGAAGTGAAGGTTATTGAAGGTTGCAAACATAGGGTAGAAGTCATGAATGCAAATTCAAAATTAACGCACTTGAAAAGTGAAAATATAAATTAGTGAGAATAACAAAGATGAAAGGTTAAATGAATTGAGATACAGATCAGACATAATTTAAATGGTGAACAGGCTCATGGTGCTGAATGACATAACCTTGTTTCCATATTCCTACAAATGATTTTTGATCAGGACAGGATGCACGTGACAAAGTTTTGCACAGGTTGAACTTTTGCAATGTTAACTTAAGGAAAAAATGTAGCTAAAATAAAAAAAAGTGAAAATGATGAAAATATGTCAGCAACTGTGAGGAGAAACAACCTTACTCCCAAACATTATCAATGCTTTTCTGTATGAATACTGACAAAGTACTGTGTATTTTCAACTTTCAATTGCGCTGAAACTCAGCCACATGTATCCTGCCCTGCTAAATATCATTAGTCGGAATGTAGGAATAGGAGCAGGTCATTCAACTCTTGAACCTGTTTCAAATTCATTTAGATCTGTATCTCAATTCAATTTACCCATTAATCTCCAGTGTCTTCACAAATTTGTGTTGGCTTTTGCTCATTCAGTGCAATAAATGACCAAGTAAATTCATACAATCATACAGCATGGAAACAAACCGTTTGATCCAACTAGTCCACAGCGACCATATTCCCAAGTGAAACTAGTCCCACCTGCTTGCATGTGGCCCATATCCCTCCAAACTTTTCCTATTCATATATTTATCCAAATGTCTTTTAAACATTGTAACTGTAACTGCATCCACCACTTTCTCTGGCAGCGCAGTTCATTCCACACACTAACCACTTTATGTCTAAAAAGGTTGCCCCTCATGTCCTTTTTAAATCTTTCTCCTCTCATCTTAAAATATGCCCCCTAGTTTTGAACTCTCCAACGTTAGGGAAAATATCTTTGCTATTCATGTTATCTATGCCTCTCATGATTTGATAAACCTTTATAAGGTCACCCCTCAACCTCATACGCTCTAGCCCCAGCCTATTTTTATAACCCAGACCCTACTTGACCTACAGAGCAGTTCCAAAATTTGCATACAATACAAAACTTGGAAGTGTTGTGAATATGAAGAAGATAGTGCAGAATTTCAAAATTCAAAAATTTCAAAAAGATATAGAAGCTCGGTGGAATGGGTAGATGAATAACAGATGAGATTTAATGCAGAAAATTGGGAGGAATTCATTTTCGTAAAAAGTATCCTGAGAAGCAATTCTCAAGGAGGTACATGATCAGAAGTATCAGTGTGTATGTGCACAAATCATTGGGGTTTCAGAACAGGTTGTGAGAATGGTTTATAAAACATATAGCAGCATAGGCTTTATTAGTAGGGGCATTAAAATAAAAAGCAAGACATTATGTTAAACTTGGGATAGAATTCTCAACTGGAATATTGCATCCACTTCTAGCACCACATTTTGGGAAGATTCACAAAAATGTTTTCATAGATAAAGAACTTCGGTTACATTGATAAGTTGGGGAGTTTTGACTGTTTTCCTTTGAGAAGATTGACAGGAGATTTGATACATCCATGTAAAGTCACAGGGTAGTTGACAGATTAGATTGTGAGAGACTGTTCCTGTCGGTGGATTGATCAGGAACCGGAAAGCACAGATTTTGGGTAATTGTCAACAGTAGTGGTACTAAGTTCTTCATGCAACCAGTGACCAGGCTCTGGAATATACTTTCTGAAGAATAAAGGCCTTCAAAAGAGAATCCGATTTTATCTGAAAGAGGAAGAATGTGAGTTGGGGGGCATAGCAAGATGTGACTTGCTCCTTCATCGCGGCAGGACGGGCTGAATGGCCTCCCTCCTAGCCGTGTCCATTGTGTACCGGGGAACAGTGTTGGTGCGCCCTCTGATGGGGACGATGGCACCGTGCGTCCGCTGCTCCCTCTGCCGGTGCTTTCTGCCCAGTCCCCTGCCTGGCCTGGGGACGCGCCCTTACTTCCACCTCGCTCGTGTGCAACATGGAACCCGACAGGGTGGTAGGAGAGGCAGCTGTAGACTCGCAAGGTGGGAGGTCCGGTGTAACCTGCGCCGAGGAAGAACTAAACGTCTTGCAGGAACTGTCAGAGTTGCCGGTGGAGACGGCGAGAAAGAGGCCGACATGCTCCCGCTGCAGGTACTGAAAGTGATGTTGGGGCAGTAGGAGTGGGGCCTCGGTGAGCGAGAGTCAAGGGAGCTGAGTGTCACAAGGCGGAATATCCTGTCTCCCCTCAACTAAACTAACAGCAGTGTTTCTTTGCATTGAAACATATTTGTCTCAAGCCCCTATAAATGCTATTGTAATCAAATATTTAAATAACTTTGAAATTTTAAATCATCACTAATCGTTCGGTACCGGGTAGTCTTTGTGGGTCTCGCCGGTTTTGACTGAAAGGGAACGGCAGCCTATTGCCCATGTCCTTAAATCATCGGTCGCCATGGAAACTGAGAGACGCTCATGGATTGGGAATGTCCTGTTACAGTTCTCACATTTGGAAACACCTTGAGATCTGTACTTTGTCTCATGAAATCATTCGTGTAAATGGTTACAGCAGGGGAGGCCGTTTGACCCGTCATGTTCATGTGACCTCTCTGTAAGAGTTACTCTGCTAGACCTGTTCCATTTTCCACATAAGCTCTGCAACATATCTGTTCTGATAATTAGCTACTTATCTTTTGCAAGACGTAATTGTACCTGCCACCACCAAACTCTCAAGCAGATCCGAGGCACTGCATAAAATATTTTTCCTTCTGTCGCCTCAAGTTCTTTTGCCGTTCAATTTACGTCAAATTATAGAGTTAGGCAGGATAGAAAGAGGCCCTTCCGCCCATCATGTTTGCACGAATTGTCAGGTACCCATCTACTCAAATCTTGTTTGCGATGCTTGGCCTTTAGCTTTATATGCTATTGCACTTCAAATGCTCATCTTAAATGTTTCGATGGGTTCTGGCCAGTACCACCCGTTTTAGGCAGAGAGTTCCAGACACCCATTGCCCTCTGGGTGAAAAAAAGAATTCCTAAACGCCCTCTGAACCTTCTGTCTCTACCCTTAACTATCCTGCCCCTGATTATTGACCCCTCTACTAAGGGGAAAGGTTATTTTCCTCTATACCCTATATATGTCCCATATCATGGATTCAATCAGGCACCCCCTCAACCTTCTGCGTTGTTAGAAAAACAATCCCAGCCTGTCTAGTCTGTCTTCTTGAAACACTTAAGCCCAGGCAACATCTTGGTGAATCTCCTCTGCACAGTACTCCAGCTATGGCCTAACAATAATCTCTGGTTCTTGACCTTTCTGACCATGGGAGCAATTTTTCTTTGTACACTCTCCAGACAGCACATGATTTTGAACCTCTATCAAATCTCTTAACTTTCTCTGAAGGTACCAGGCCCTGATTCATCAATTTATACATGAAAATAATGTGTCTCAATCCTGTAAGCGGTCCACTGCCTTCACTTCCTGATATGCAGTGCCCAGAATTGGATGTATTATTCCAGTTGAGGCTAAACCACTGTTTAATAGGTGGTCAGTATAATATCCTTGCCTCTGTACAATTGGTTTTATAAAGCGTTAACTCCTTTCAAAAACCTGCCCTGCCATATTCAGCAATTTGTGCGTATATACCCCAAAGTACTTCTGATTCTGCAGGCATTGTACCTTTTCTGTTACACATGATAGAATTGTACCCTTTACATTGCCTTCCTGCCTGTATATTGGTGCAAATAGGTGAGCTGAAAAATGTGTGCATGTTACTTAAAGTGAATACAGTGAAAACCAGTAACTGAAATACTTGGATGTAAAGAAATTCTAGAGTGAAAGATTGAGATGAATTTAAAAAAAAAGTTGCCCAAGACATCCAAAGAAGAATATTGTGCTATATATATTTTTTCACTGTATTTTTAAAACTATTTGCAAAAGCATTGTTAGATAATACAATGTATAAACATGATCTGTTACCAAGAGGGATATGTGTGGTACCTAATCTGTGTTTTTAACCATTGAAAAATTTACTCCGGTAAATAAGAACAGTTTAAGAATATTTCAGTTTCTAAGAAATTTCTTTCAAGTTAGTAGAATATGACATTTTCAAATATAATATATGTGAATAGCAAAGGTCTTTTCCCTAAAGTGGGGGGAGTTCAAAACTAGGGGGCATATTTTAATGTGAGAGGAGAAATATTTAAAAAGGACATAAGGGGCAGACTTTTTACACATAAAGCGGTTAGTATGTGGAATAAGTGGATGCAGGTAGAGTTACAATGTTTAAAATACATTTGGATAAATATATGAACAGGAAAAGCTTGGAGGGATATGGACCACATGCAGGCAGGTGGGACTAGTTTCATTTGAGAACATGGTGGGCGTGGACTAGTTGCACGAAACGGTCTGTTTCCATGCTGTATGACTATACTAATATGCATGAGTCTAATTGTCTGAAATGTTAAGATGCATTCTAAAATGTGATACACATGATGATCTCCTGCAACAGATAGTCTAATGTCTGAGCCATGATTATTTGTTTTGCATGGTTTTGTTCTGAGAAGTGGAATGTTCAGCGGTGTGGATAGAACAAGAGATAATTCCAGTCATATTCAGGAAGGCAGTGGTAGACATGGAATTAGATCATGGAGTATGTAAAGTACATGATTCAGAATTTTAATAATAAACCATTGGATGAGAGAAAAATAATACTAATCTATTTATTCATGCCACGGCAAAAGGTGTTGAAAGCACTTTTGAAATATATTTCCTCCTGGTCTGATTTTTAATCACAATGTTGTAGCTATGTCAAGGATTTTTTTTGTTGTTGACTCAAAATCTTAATGCTATTGATTAGTTTCAATTAGTATGATCTTAATTGTCAAGGTGGTGTACTAGACAATGAAGAACATTACCTTATCGATATCCTCAGATTTTTTCTTTGTCCACAATGGTTGCAAAAGAGATTTTCGAACAATTTTTAATTAAAACATTGTAATTTCCTCCTTAGTGATAGCTGTTTGCTCACTGCTGCTTTTTAATTTTTTGTAGCTTTTATCCCATCTTTATTGTAGTTGTTCGGTTGTTGTTCATTTCAACTTTCCACTGGTAAGTTACAGATTTAGTTGTAATTTGTGACTTTTCTGTGAATGTAAAACTGGAGCTAGGTGCAAGAGCAGCACAGATTTGCCTGTGTGACCATATTTATAGACACAGAATCATGGCTATTAATTGATTGTGGTTAAATGACTAAGCAATTTTTACACATGCCAAGTTTTAAAAAAAGGTAATCCATAGCATTGGTAGAGGGAGTCATGAGGACAGGATAGAGTGCGATTTAACTTGGTGCATTGTGAAGGGAATTGGCAAAATTTCTGAATTGGATAGGGTGAAGGAGTGTAGGATTTGGCTCACAGATGGATTAGTGGAAGCATTGGCGTGAATAACCAGTTTGGAAGTGCTAATTTGTAGATTTACAATCAGTTTTTACAAACTTTGTGTTCTGAGTGAGGAAAAATTGTGATTTATGGAGTTTAACATGAGAATGTACATAATTCTTTGACATTTGCATCATATGTAGGCAGGGTGGTTAAGAAGGCATTTAGCATGCTTGTCTTCATTGCTTGGACCTTTGACTATAGGGGTTGGTATGTCATTTGACATCGTACGGGATGTTGATAAGGCTTCTTCTGGCGTACTGTGTCCAGTCTGGTCCCCGTGTTGTAGGATGGATATTATCAAGCTGGAGATGGTTCAGAAAAGATTTACCATTATGTTGCCGGGAATGGAGGGTCTGAGTTATAAGGAGAGGCTGGATAGGCTGGGACTTTTTTCATTGGAGCACAGGAAGTTGAGGGGTGAACTTCTGGAAGTTTATGAAATCATGAGGGTATAGATAAGGTGAATGGTAGGTGTCTTTTCCCTAGGAGTGGGGATTTCAAGCCAGGGGGCAGAAAGATTTTAAAAAAAGATATGAGGGGCAACTTTTTTTACAGAGTGATTTTTGTGTGGAATGAACTTCCAGAGGAAGTGGTAGATGTGGGTACTGTCACAAAGTTTAAAAGACATTTTGGATAAGCACATGAATAAGAAATGATGGGAGGGATATGGGCCAAGCGCCAGCAGGTGGGCTAATTTAATTGGGATTATGGTCAGCATGGACTGGTTGGACTGAAGGGTCTGTTTCCGTGTTGTATGACTCTACAACTCTATGTCTAAGGTCATTCACTTTGAATTTGAGGAGAAACAAATTGGATATTTTCGAAATGAGAAGAAGCCAGAAACTTTGGATAAATAAATTAATTTGTGTGACAACTTGCACACATTAGTAGTAACTAGTTATCAGTAAAAAGAAAAATTGAGTTCTTTATTTCATGGGAATTATCTTATAAAGGGCAGGATATTATATTATCAAAAACGATGTATCCATAAAATTTTGGAAAACCACCTTCAAATTTGTCATTGTTTCAAGGCATTACATAGAGTAAACAATCTAGATAGAATACTGTACATAACATTGCACTCTGAAGTGTCTCACTACAATTACTAGAGAATGTTGCGTATGAAATCTTTTTTGAGGAATTGGAACTTCAGTTTCAGACACCTTGGTAAGACCGCCTTTGGAGTATTGTATTCAGTTGTGGGCATTGTATCTCAGAAAGGATATATAAACCTTAGCGGGGTATATTGCACATTTATAATTTTTTCTCAGTGAGTTGTAAGGAATATAAAATTAAAGACTGAAGTATTATTGTTCAAGTATTGAAGTATTGCACTATTCCTTCCTCACTAAATATTTTCCCAACAGTACTCTTGTTGCCCTGAATATTTTTTAAAAATAATATTGTTTAACCTCAGGACTTTGATTCGGACCTTATCTGTATGTGTCAATAATCAGAGTCCTTTACAAATTTCCACCTCTATGCAGTTTTTTTTACAGTTGCTTTGAGTAGTCCAAGAAACATACCCATAAATCAAAAATCCTTTGAAAATATTTTACTGAACAATTTCACAAGAGAAATGTTTCAAAGTGTAAAAGTTCACTTGATGATGTGATAACATACTGTATTTACAAAACAAATAATTCCTGGGATATAGTAATTTAAATTGTTTTTTTCTCAGCAAAGTTATCTCAGAAAAAGTTGAAGAGTTC